AGGGAGCACGGTATCAGTAGGCTAATGGTTATTTATCAGTGTTTTATAATGTATGCGGTAGAGAAACTAATACACAGCGAATTATTTCTGAGAGCTAGGAATGAACCACAGGAATCTTTTGGCCGTCTGATGCTTGATAAAACTCGCATACCACCACCCACCTGCACAAATCGTCGCCCTCTTCACTGGCTCATCGAATTTTAGTCTACAAATCTTGCTTTATTCCATTCAAATGGACCTTTTTGGCAACTTTCGCTGTCGCCCTCCCTCCTGAGTTTGCAGCCTTCCTGTCCGCTGGCCAACCAGGAAAAGCACATGAAACCAATCCGCAGTCGACCATTGAAAAGTGCTTTTGATCAGCTGCGAGCGCTCACCAAAGCCATACACACGTCTGACGCAATTTCATGCCCCAACTCGCCTTCCTTCATCCTAGCCGCCAATGGCATCCTTACTTCATCCGGCATCCGATTCTTTCTCCTTTGCCAACTTACTTGCAACGCAAATTGCCCTCCTCACTTAAAAAATTCCCTCTGTTATTTTAAAAGGGATTTGTTTACAAGTTCCTGATATGAATGAAGTAAGGAAATTGTATTCATCAATCCAACTTCTACCCAAATCCTGACTACTTGGCTTTATGCAAACACCGTTACGTGAACACTACAGATCCGGTCCGAGGTTTTGACACCGATCAAGCATTTGTTGTCGATGGACATTGATTATCGAACTCAAGACGTCAAATTGAGTAATTTGTTTAAATGGAGTTCACAAACCCGGTGAAAACAAAGAGTAAAACTGCTTTGGATGTTAAATAGAAAAAGTATACTTTATTACGTATCAGTAGCTTTGAAATTCGCGATAGCGCATATATAACACTGATAATAAGAAAGTCCCTGTAGGCAGGTTGCCAGCACCCTATTTTAGTGACGAATGCTTGTGCAAATGAATGACTGAGTGATTGGATGAATGAACGAATAAATGAAGGGATGTGAATGAATTAGTGAATAAATATACGTGTTCGAAATCTATCTTGCGTAGGATCAAAACCCTGTAAAATTGAGGCAAGAAGAAGGCCGTTTATGACGATTGGAGGCAAGGAGGTTGTGACAATAAGATGGGATGAGAGGGCACCGAGGCAAGGAGAGGCGAGTGGTTACGATTAAATGCACAGAGACAGAAAGGATGGACAGAGGAGGAGGAGGCTCTACTGTATGCAGCACGCATTATTCCTTCGCAGTGACTGAGAACTCTGGCGGCCAGATGTTTCCTGGTGAGAAATCGTGCTCTTTGAGTAGTCAGGCAGTACCTCGCGGTCATTCACACCCTCCTCAATCACAACGTAGACGTCAAACACAAGTGGATTCCTCCGACCCACATACTCACTCCTACTCCCACCTCTACTTCCACCACAACTACCGAAGACACTGAGGGTCGGATCCACCACAAAATCCCCATCACCCGATCGTAGAGCTGCCAAGGAGCTAGGTGTTGGTCGAATGCGACTGGATTTACATCCAACACTGTAGTATGGGTCCAGCACCGTCGAGGTAGGCTGCGCACTATCAGTGAGAGAGTGAGTACTAAGGAGGGAGAGGCGGCTTAGGAGGCTAGAGAGACGTCTACGCCACCGTCGTGGTCGAACACCAAAGTCGGTAAAACGAGGAATGCGTGGGGGCAGTGTAGTGATCTCCCCAGTCACCCCCAAGGGGTCCCCGTGCTCGGTGACCTTGGAGGGCGCTGACGTTCCCGCGAAGAGGTCTCCACCAGCAGTAGATTCACGTTCAGCACCACCGCCACTTCCACTTCCTCCGTCACCACTACTGGCACCGCCGACACCACTGTTAGTAAAGGTGGAGGAATAGGCTTTTCGTCGACGAGGAAAAGGATGGTGAGGCAGGACACGAGGATAATTGGAGGTGAGTTGGACGGCTGCATTGCTGAAGACCACTCCGCGACGCCAAGTGACACCATAACCAGCGAAATCGTGCCCACAGAGATGAAGATAGGGTCTAGACAAAAAAAGACAAGGAATGATCACGTGACTGCGAATAGCCATGCACGTAGGCACTAGCGTAGGCGGTGGAGTTAGGTAGGTAGGTAGGTAGGCAAGCAAACAAGCAAGGAAGAAAAACCCGACCCGCCTTATCACGATCGGTTGGGGGATTTTTCTTCGGCACCAACTTGTATCAGACTTTGGATGGTCCAGGATGGATCAATACTCGCGCCCGAAAGCAGTTACTTTCCATCCACTTGTGCAACGAAATTGCGCATATTTCCCACAAAAAAACGATTTAGAAGTCATCACAAGTCTCCCCTAAGAAAGGCACTTCTGAAGACGCGTCACTCAGAATAAAGCACACAATACGGATTTAGATAAGTAATAGCAAGCAGACTTATTAGAAAAATGCAAAGAAAATGAAACAGAATTTCACGGGCGCTCCATATATAGGTTCTTGAAGGAATATTTGCTGAAGGATAGAGTGGAAGGGCATGAATTATACGCAAGGGACAACAGAAAACATCGAGCGTTTACTGTTGAATGGGGATTATTTTAAAATTGGAAAAGGAGGCTCGCATGTCACACACACACACCTCTGTGAAGATTCCAATGACGGGTTTAGAAAAAGACAGGAGCTCCAAAAGGGGATGAAATATATCCCCCGCCTGAGACCTTGGGCGCCTCGAGGGGCATACAGAGAAAGAAAAACAAGACTATCTTCTTTGACAGGAAAGAAGAGGAGCCTTTCGTCCCAGCGTGTGGCGCTGAGAATTCACTCTACTAGGAGTGACAAACAGACATGGAAAGTGTACCTAAACGACTGTACACAATGCAGTTTACTCTGTAATTTCCAAAAGCTGCACTGTATCTCATCTTCCATAACTGCGCCGTTGCCTCAACTCTGAAGTGTATCAGCGATTGGTGGCTGCCCATATTTTGATAGATCTAGGCCTAGACTACTTGTGCCGCCGTCTTTACTGGTGTTTTTGCTATACCGACTTAAGACGCTTTTTGATTGGAGACTTGACTGCGGATCCCGGCTGCTTTTCATTCAAACGACCACTCTCAAACTCGATACATTCTTGTTTTCAAGGAGAAGGTAGGTATTTTACGAAACCATGACTTTCAGATTCCAATATGGCAATTCTGAAGCAAAACAGACATTACTTGACTCAACAAACACTTTGAATGACGCCTGAGCCCTCGGTTTTACGTTGTTTTTATTCTCGAACTGACATTACTGAAGGGAGGTACAGGCTACCTTTCAGAGAATGTTTACACACAAACCCGACAACTGCACTAAAAAACATCTCGTGATTGTCTAGACAGATTTCTTCTGCATTCACCACTACGTGACTCAACCATCGTGAGTAGATCACGTGATCGGGAGGGTGGCAGGTGAGCCATGGAGCTACAAGCATGCCATCAATTGCTCCCCTTTCGTTTGTCAAGGCAATGACACCCAATTCAACTGAACTAAGTCACAACCTGTTTCATGAAACGAAATGTGACTGGTTAAGAAATTTCCAAATTACTTTATACTGTAGGCAATTCAAGGTATTCCAATTTGGGGGTTAGCACAAATGTAGGGTCGGAGACGAGACTGGAATAGGTTGGAAATGAAGCACAACGTGGATGCTTGATAAACACTCCACTATTGTAGTAAACATTCATCATGTATAGATAACACAACGACAGTAGCCGATTTTTTGCAACATTTTCAGTCGCATTCACCCGACGCCGACAATTACACTAGACAAGTTCAAGGTTACCATCAGGCATGTGGAGAGAGCTAACCGGACTTGTAAATTTAACGGAAATTTCACCCACACAGCAGTAGAATTTCTGATTTTACGGAGTGCATTGCATATTGCTCGCCTACATTCCTGATGCCATTACGAACATTTCAGTGCGATTTAATTTTAGTAATCTCTAGTTTAAGACCCACCTTTGAAGAATCTGAAATGCAATGCTAAAGTCGTTGCAACATCCGAACACACAACCCCCAAAAAAGTGAGAGACGTTGAAAAGAAAGTGAGATCAAAGAGGAACAGGAATGGTTGGAGGGAACGTATAACATGGGTTTGCTTACTTATTATTCATTAACCCGTTGTAAGTGGCTTTTCCTCTCTTCAAAGTATAATTCAAACAGTTTTGCTTACAGTCAACTGAAGCAGAAACGTTAAACGATGATTTCAGAGAGTAGGAAGGCCTTAATTTCCCAAGGCTTCGAATTTTCTAAAGTAATTCTCACTTCATTATATCTTCCAAAAGGTTATCACAGGGCAGATATGCCAACCGAAAAAGGAGGAACATACGAAAATGCGTATTTCAAAGTTAAGTTAACAAAAGAATCCACGAAAACTAGTAATATTCTCCCATCCGAACTGAATGCGACATCACGGAGAAACACGGAATCGAAGGACCTTCGAATTCGCTATTCAAAGCTGGATGCTTTAACTCACTCCATTATAACACCATTACAAAGATGTGATTTCGGCAGTCCAGGAAGTTTCCTAAGACATCAATCGGGTCCAAAAATCCCCGAAATAGGAGTTTCAATGGAGGAATTTAGAGCTTATTGAATCAATTTTGAGTCATCCAGTGGAATTTATAAGGAATAGTCTGTGATCCAAGCACCAAGCCAACAGTGTCAAGCCACCACTTATTGCCACCAAAAATAAACAAATAGCAGTTAGATGATGAAACAGTCCTGAATCGCTTCCAGTAACTTTGTACCGTGACAATCCAGCGTGATCAATTAGTATAGGTAGACGGGGAAAACAAAGTTACCGTCATATCATGGTAAGGGGCGAAACCTTTTGGTCCAAGAAGAAAAGGCGGCCACCTCAGTGCACGTAGGACGCAGACAGAAACAAAGAGATGGACCGGAGCTGGTCCGATCACTTTCGGTCTCTTTATCATTCCTGCAACCTTTGGTGTCCACCGAGCGGCAACACTTCAAAACAATCTATTCACTTTCAACCTGAGACCACTTCTAAGGTGTTCTACTCTTGCAAAACTCAAATAGCACGCTTATTAAATTCGTCAAAAGTGGTGATATGAGGTTTTGTGCAACTAAAAACTTCACTTCACTTCTGTCTCGTACGTAGTTTCAACGCAGAAGTGTAGTAACTAGAAGCGCAGGAAATAACTTTCAAAGTAGGGCAGGATCTAGTACAAGCCTATGGACTACCACGTTCATAGTTTTCATCCAGGTCGAAAGAGATTTCGGTCATTCCAAGACCGCGTAACGTTCCCAGAGGAAACATAAACAGTAGAAGGATGCCCTTCGATGTTTCTTGAGCTTACCTGAATGGGGATTTTTGAGATCAGTAAGAGTAATCCATGGAAGGAAATCTCAACCCCGAAATACGACTCCCCAAATCGCTATACTTAGCGATGCGGAGGAGCCTCCTAGAGCAAAGACTAGCCCATTTAAAATTAGGCGAAGGATTAGTTCTTATTAATAAGGACAAAATTAATTTCCATAGAATTGCATTCAATCAAAGATGAATGCATGAAACCGCTTTGAGCGATTTCGGAGAGAGGGAATTTTGACAGCTAATCACTACTAGTAGGTAACGTGAAACGACAAACACACGATAGGCTGTGCGCTATTGACAGTTAAGAAACGGGTCACAAATATGGCTACAACCGCCTCCGGCAATCCATAATACGCAAATCGTTCTACTTTACCTGAATTCACAATACCAAGCGAAATCACGTGGTCAAAGAAATTTCGGGTAGTTTTTAGTATAGCTCTCCGTAATGACTTCAATGCTTTATTTTGTAAGCGATTGCTTATTTGCATGCATCTTAAAACTCCGATAAATGGGCATCAGCCTATTGATACCGTGCCCTCA